GCCCCCTGACAGACCCCGGGACTCCCATGCCCCATCCAACCCCCCATGCTCCCTGACTGCCCCCTCCAGAGACCCCCCCCCATCCAACCCACCTTGTCCCGTGACTGCCCCCACGCCCACCCCTTATCCAACTCCCCCGGCCCTGGACCCCTTACCATGAGGCTCCACGCAGAGCCTGATAAGCTGCCCCGCGGGAGCGCGCGGCCTCGGCCCCCAGAGCTCTGCGCGCGCGGCGGCAGGGCTCTGGGTGAGCGGGAAGCGTCTTTCCCTCCCCGCAGAGCCAAAGACTGCCCCGCAGGAGCGCGCAGTCCCTACCCCCAGAGCGCTGCGTGCGCGGCGGCAGAGCTCCAGGGGAGGGGAGAAGGCTTGGGAGGGGCCGGCAGCTTGCTGCGCTCCGGCCCAGGAGCGCGGCCCCCGCGGCTTGCCGTGCCGGGAGAGTGGGGTCATTTGCCTACCCCGTGCGCACGGCTATGCTTCTGCTCCCTGCCCCCACGGGGGGAGCGGAGGGCAGAGGAGAGCGGGCTGGGCTGGGCAGGATTTTTAATGGAGTCCTGGCAGGCTCCAGCGTGCCATTAAAAATCGGCACGCGTGCCGAGCCCTGGTCTAGATATTATGCTTTGATAAGACTGGATGGGAAAATACAAAACAAAGGAAATTAGAGAACTGGAAATATTAGTACATAAGCTAAATTATGACTTAGTTGGCATCACAGAGACTTGGTGGGATAAGTCTCATGACTGGAATATTGATATAGGCTATAGCTTTGTTCAGGAAGGACAGGTGGGGTAAAAGAAAATATCAAGAATATATACCCTTGCTCTGAAGTCCAGAAGTGGGAGTCACCGGTTAATGATAAAAGGGGTATCCTGATAGTAGTCTACTATAAACTACCAATCAGGAAGAGGAGGTGGATGAGGCATTTCTAGAACAACAATAATACCCAAAACACAAGACCTGGTATAATGGGGGACTTTAACTACCCAGACATCTGCTGGAAAAGTAATACCAAAAACCCACAAAATTTCCAGTAAGTTCTTGGAATATATTTGGGACAACTTTTTGTGTGGGAAGTAGCCAAGATGGCAGCCATTTTAGACTTGATTCTGGTCGACAGGGAAGAATTGGTAGTGAATCTGAAGATGGAAGGCAATTTGAGTGAAAGTGATCATGAAATGATAGATTTCATGATTCAAAGGAAATTTGTAAGCACCTGGAGGATGATAGGGTTATAAGGAATAGCCAGCATGATTTTGTCAAACAAAAATCATGCTAAACCAACTTAATTTCCTTCTTTGACAGGGTTACTGGCCTAGTGAACGGGGGAAGCAGTAGATGTTATATTTCTTGATTTAGTAAGGCTTTTGATACAGTCCCACATGATATTCTCATAAGCACACTAGGGAAATGTGGTCTTGGTGAAATTACTATCAGGTGGATGCACAATTAGTTGAAAGACCATACTCAGAGTAGTTATCAATGATTCACTGTCAAACTGGGAGTGTGTATCTAGTGGGGTTCCACGGGGTTCAGCCCTGGATCCAATACTATTCAATATTTTCATTAATGATTTGGATAATGGAGAGTATACTTATAAAATTTGCAGATGATACCAAGCTGGGAGGGGTTGCAAGAACTTTGGAGTACAGAATTAGAATTTAAAACCACTATGACAAATTGGGCAATTGGTCTGAAATCAGCAAAATGAAATTCAGTAAAGATAAGGACAACGCATTTCACTTAGGAAAGAAAAATCAAACACACAACTACAAAATGAAGAATAACTGTCCAGGTGGTAGTACTGCTGAAAAGGATCTGTGGGTTATAGATTGAAATTGAATGAGTCAACAATGTGATGCAGCTGTGATAAAGGCTAATATTGTGGAGTGTAATACAGGAGTAAGTCACAGAAGGAAATTGTCCCACTCTACTTGGCACTGGTGAGGCTTCTGTTGGCATAGTGTGTCCAATTCTGGGGGCCATACTTGAGGAAAGATTTGGACAAATTGGAGAGAGTCCAGAGGTGAGCAACAAAAATGATAAAAGGTTTAGAAAATCTGACCTATTAGGAAAGGTTAAAAAAAACTGGGCATGTTTAGTCTTGAGAAAAGAAGACCAAGGGGAAACCTGATAACAGTCTTCAAATATGTTAAGGGCTGTTATAAAGAGGACAGGAATCAATAGATCTCCATGTCCACTGAAGGTAGGACAAGAAGTAAGTGGCTTAATTTGAAGCAAGGGAGATTTAGATTAGATACAGATGCTCCCCTTGCGTAACTCGAATTTTGCGTAAGTCGGAAACGTATCTCTGACCATTATGCAAAAAAAAAAAAAAAACCACCCCTCCTATTTCTAGCTTATGGATCTTTTTCCATAAGCTCGGATTTGTGTACACCGGGTTTATGTAACTCTGAGAGCATCTGTATTAGGAAAAACTTTCTAACTATAAGGGTAGTTAAGCTCTGGAATAGGCTTCCAAGGGAGGTGTGGAATCCTCATCATTGGAGGTTTTTAAGAACAAGTTGGTCAAACATTGTCAGGCATGGCTTAGGTTTAATTGATCCTGCCACGGTGCAGGGGGATGGACTTGATGACTTCTTGAGTCCCTTCCAGCCGTACATGATTCCATAGGAATGCTCTGCATTTTATTATTTAAAAGGAAAAGGAGTGACCACATCACAATTCTGGCCCTTTGCACTCATCGAAGAAAGGCCAAAGAATGAATGGGCTCGGGGAGACACTCTCACCTCTCCAGGCTGGGGTGGGCAAGTGCTTTAATTTTTCTTTTTTAAAAAAAGTGTCAAGTTAGTAAAAATTAAAAGCAGGAAAAGTATTAATTTTTTTTCTGACTTACAAAGATATTTTGAAGTACTAGTGCCAGTAACAGGAAGAAGTGATCATTTAAATCCACCAGTTTAATGGTCAGTTTTAAAATCTATTTCTTAACATGTTATTTTGAAAATAAAGCTAGCCCATTGCCTGATACAATTTTAGCTCCAGATTGCATATTTTGCAAGGCAGAAAATCTTTGAGTTTAATGTTTGAATTGGGAGGCAGTGTTGCCTAGTGGATAGAATAGCGGTCTGGGGCTCAGGAGATCTGGGTTCTGTTCCCAGCTCTGCCACTGCCTGCTGGGTGACCTTGGCAAAGTCACTTTGCCTCCTTGTGCCTCCATTTCCCCATCTGTAAAATAGGAATAATGATACTTACCTCCTTTGTAAAGCTCTTTGACATGTACTGATGTCAAGCATTAAATGAGAGCAAAGTATTATTAAAAACAATAATTGATTCTAAGCCTGAATCTGACTTAGGTCTCTTTCTGAGCTGTTGGTGGATTTGAAAAGCAGAGGGGAGAGAAATGGACTGAACACCCAAAAACTGATACCAGTGGAGACAGAAAACACAATTAAGCAGCGGGAAGGAGAGATAGATGACAAACCATGATAAGATGAGTTATAAAATCTTTATTGATTACTGCTCCATTGTTGACATTCACATGTCTTGGGGCATATTGATTTGTATTGTTGTTCATAGTGTGATGGGTCACCTAGTTGAAAAGAAGTTCCAGAATATACAGTAATGCAACATGACTAGTTTAGCTGATCATTTCTCAGGATTTTCTAAATCTGTTTTCAAATGGTAGAATATCGACCTCTGTCTGTCTTTAAACAATGGAGTTTATTGCAACATGTTATTGTAAAGCACAAATTAAACAAGAACGCCACCTCTGTTTAACACTTGAAATAAACCATTTAGCATCTGATTTTGGGAATAAAGAGTTATAGATGTTATAACGTTGCCTACCATGTGTAGAGATAGTGTGGATATCCCTGACTGTATTTAGGTTGTGCCAGTTCTCTGACAAAGAGCACTGCATTTTCAGAACAAAAACACTGTCAAAACTCAGGTTGTCAGACTGAATATACTGCTTCCTTATCTATGATATGTGATCCATATCTGATCACTAGTATTTTGAGGGACCCTACACTGCAGGATACAAGCAACTCCTATTTAAGTCAGTAGGAGTTGTTCATATCCTGTGGTGGAAGAACAGGGCTCCTGGAAACCATGTTGACCTAGCAAATCTAATCTAGCATTCTCTTGTGATCTGCAGTAGATCCATATAGGAGAAATAAAAATTTCAGGTAAGAATACTAATTTTGCATATAAATACCTCCTGCTTTTTCCTACCTCTGTCTCTCACTGCTGCAGTGACATCTAGTGGAACTAAAAAGCAAAGTTTGCTACAAAGTTCTATGATTCTGTCTCAGTTAATTATTTAACATTTGTACAGTGCCTTGAATGTGTGAAGTGCTAAGTATTATTATTATCATCTGTCTTTTCATTTCTAATGTGTCTATTGCCCTAGGCTTCCAGACATTAGTCTGGAATTCAACTCTTGCAATTCAACTCTCCTACAGTTAACTTTGATGGGTAGTCATCTCATATTGCAGAGATTGCATAGTCAGAGGAGCTCTCCAGAAACACACCAGAGACATGGCGAATGACTTAACAATTGGAGTCCAGCAGAGTTTCCTAAATGTGGCTAGGATATACCCAGCAGTGTTTGGCCAGTGTGCACCATAGGCGTTGACTTCCCCTCTTTGCTCTGGGCCCTTGAACCCCCCACCCCACTCCACCCCTTCCATGAGGCCCAGCCCCACCCCGCATCTTCCCACCCCTTCCCTGCCCCCATTCCCTGTCACAAAACCATACTATGCAAGAAGGCACAGACAAATTATTAAACATTGTTGATGCTGGCAGGCAGTGCAGGCACTGCTGTGGGTTAAATAAGGCAATCAGCAAGTGGGTGGGGGAAAAGGGGATAGGGTTTGCTGAAGCTATGGGACAGGTACAATGGCCACAAAGTGAGAGCAGATGGATTTGCAGAAGTGGAACATGCACTGGTATAAGATCCAGGAGTATTGAAGATTCTGATGATGGAGCAGCCCAAGCTAACCATGCATCCATTTGGTCCAGTGTGAGGGTGAGCTTAATAATCACAAACAGAGGAACTCTATTCTGGTCACACATGCAAGCACAGACCCTCCTCTCTGCTGCACAGGGGACTGCAGTTGTGGTCAGAACGTACTGAGTGTCCAGACCATGTGACAATCTCTCTCTTAAGATATGGTCCACGCTGTGAAAAAGTCTGAGAACTCCTGATCTACAATATACTACTTAAGTGCTTATAGAAACAGATGCATAAGTAGCATATTACTAGCAATTGCAGCTTCTTGGTGAAAGGAGCTGATAAGAATGGCCATAGTGAGTCAGACCAATGGTCCATCTAGCCCAGTATCCTGTTTTCTGACAGTGGCCAATGCCAGATACTTTGGAGGGAATGAACAGCACAGGCAATCATCAAGTGATCCATCCCCTGTCGTCCACTCCCAGCTTCTGGCAGTCAGAGGCTAGGGACAGCCAGAACCTGGGGTTGCATCCCTGACCATCTTGGGTAATAGCTATTGATGGACCTATCCTCCATGAATTGAATTATTTTTTGTTATAGCTTTGGCATTCACAGCATCCCCTGGCAATGAGTTCCATAGGTTGACTGTACCTTGCGTGAAGAAGTAGTTTCTGTTGTTTGTTTTAAACCTGCGGCTATTCATTTCATTGGGTGACCCTAGTTCTTGTGTAATCTGAAGGAGTAAATAACACTTGCTTATTCATTTTCTCTACACGAGTCATGATTTTATAGACCTCCATCATATTCCCTTAGTCATCTCTTTTTTCCAAGCTGAAAAGTCGCATTCTTTTAATCTGTCCTCATACGGAACCTGTTCCATACCCTTAATCATTTTTGTTGCCCTTCTCTGTACCTTTTCCACTTCTAAAATGCCTTTTTTTAGATGGCGTGACCAGAAGTGTCAAGAGGTGAAGAGTTTGCCATATTGAGTTTGCTGAAGAGAGATTTATATTATCGTTGCATTCTATATCATTTTGGGTGAATCTTTTAAGCAAATTAGCTCTGTTCATAGTTACTGAGTGGTGTTCCTCCTTTTCAGCTGCATCTTATTTTATTTTACAGGCACAGCTGATAGCTCAATCAATTGGTCAGGCTTTCAGCGTGGCCTACCAGGAGTTTCTGAGAGCCAACGGAATTAATCCAGAGGATCTCAGTCAGAAAGAATATAGTGACATAATCAATACCCAGGAGATGTATAATGATGATCTTATACACTTCTCCAATTCAGAGAACTGCAAGGAGGTAAATTCTTTTTTTTTAAATTTTTATTTCATATTGTTAATCCAGTTTTCTTATTTTTAATATTGATGCACACACTGAGCACTCAATTGGCATTTTAAGAATACATTTGCATAGGAAATACATGGTTTTATTAGTATTCAGCCTTAGGAGCTTTTTATTTTTCCTACCCACTTTACTTTCAAGGTCCTTCTGCCTCCATCATAATAGTAATTACATTTACATTTCATATAAACGGGAAACAATAATACCTTTACATCATGCTTCAGGTGTCAATTACTTGCGTTCTATAATGAGGTGTAGATATAATAAGGGAGTTGATAATCAGGTTTTAATAACCTTGAAAATTTACATTTTAATAGATTTTATATCTGCTGTTTGGCACTAAGCGTCTCTGTAAATGAGCTGACATTTCTGATCTCAGTAAGATATCTTTGGTGTATCTTCTGTATTAAGACTGTGTGTTTTAATGCTCATTCTAGAATAAAATCATATCTGGTTAATTTAAATGTTGGAGGTGCATATAGAAGAGAGGCCTGATTCCAAAATATTACCTGCAAAGCTGAGGGTGGAGAAGCATTCATCTGACATAGAAGTAATGGTTTTTAATTAAGTTAGACAAAAATCACGGGACAGGATCCAAACACAGACAATATGACCTTAAAGGTCAGATTGTTCTTGGGTCTTGTGGGTGTTTGAGGGCAATGGGTGGAACAGTGAGCTGTCTGCCATCTCGGTGCTCCCCATGCAGGAATAGGGACCAAGTGCTTGGGGAGAACAGGGACTGCTCTTGGGCACCCCCACGATACAATCCCCCCGAGGAGCAAGTGGGATCATGGCAAAGGGTAGGCGCAATGTGTGCACTCCCACTGTACTTGGGGAAGTTGCTAGGGGAGGGAAGGGATTTTGTCTCCTGAAGAGATTGCAAAACTCTTCTAGGGCTTAAGGGGCTTCTGTCCATCACCAGTACTGCTTGGTGGTTGAATACCATAGACTGGCCCTAATATAGCATTGTTTTTAGTCCATGAAAGAAGGGTTTTATGGAGTTCTGGCTCTGCGTGGGACAAGCATGGTTGTCTCTTATGCTTCTGTTATATCATAGCTCTTCCAAATCCCATTCATCTTATACTCCACACACTCCTGACTATCAAAGATAAAGTGGACTTCTGCTCGGAAAGGTGACTACGTAAAATAAAAATAGCACTTTTAAAGCTGCATCTTCTCCCTCTGTGTCTGACAAGTTGTACTACTACCAATGAAGTGGGTCCAGTAGAGCTGTGGCATTGAGCAGCCTGGTTTCTGTCCTCTTGTCCTGCCTTTCTGCCCTCAACCCCCCACAAATAACAGCAGCAAAATTGCTATCTGAAACCTGTTTACAGAATCTTCATTGTTGGTAATATATGAAGTGGAGAGAACTTCCCTTAAGTCAATACCAGGCTTAGCATGGCATGTCAGCATAATGACTTGCATTGATAATAATGGTGTACATTTCATATTTTACCTTTCATGCAGGAAGGTCTCTAAGCACCTCAAAAACAGAATGAGACACATGGGGCCAAATCCTGTTTCCATTGAAGTAATGACAAAACTCTCCTTGGTTTCAGTGTGATGAATATTTGGCCTGTGTTCTAATGGTCTGAGTGCAGAAAGCACAATTTCTGCATTTTAAAATGGTCTCATTTTGTGACCTTGGGCAAATCATTTAATCTTTCTGTCGCAGTTTTCTCATCTGTGAAATAATAGGTGTAGTAGCACTTCTCTGCCTCATAGGGGTATTGGGAGGATTAATTAATTGAGCTTTATAAAACATTTAGAAGATGAAAAGCGCTACATGCTAAATGTTATTTCCAAGCGACGAGTCATGTGATTTCACTGGGCGTTTTGCCTAAATAAGGGATGCAGATTTTGGACCTATACGTAGGAAATGCCGTCATTTCTGGGTTAATCATGGTGACTGGAAGTGAAGGTGAAAATCCATATTCAACTGAAAACCAATCCAGGTATACGTAAATTGTAATTTATAGAGTTACAGATAAAAAAGATAAAGAAATGGATGTGTGGTTTATACGGGTACAGTCGTTGGACTTGACAAGGTATTGTTTATGTACACATAACAACTGGAAAATATTTCAAATTGGTCACACAAGGGAAAACAAACTTAATTAGAAAATCTTGTTTTTACTTGTAATCGGAACTGATTGGATATAAATATGTGTAACACCAAGATGCCAGATTTATAATCACTTCTCTGAGCTTTAAGCATGCTTCAGAGGTGGCTACCCTTCCTGCTGCCCATTGCTCCTTGGTTCCCAGTTCTTCTAAATGAGCATGTTTACAAGTAATGATGGATTGTCTGATCATGCTGAAGCTGTTGCACTCTGGCTGCATTTCAGTCAACCCAGGGATAACCTCTGCAGAACCCAGTGAGCCTTCCTGGTTTTTACAAACAAGAAATCTCCTTCTGGGTCTCTTTTTAATTTAGAAGGCTGACCTAACTGTAGTGATGCAACTGAGCCTCCAGTGGTAAATAGGCCTTGCTTATTACAAGTAGCGCAGCCACCGCATTATTTTTTGGGGGGAAATGTTCTTATCCAGTATTTTATTAAAGAAGACGCTCAACTTGAAAATCACACTTCTGGTTAGAAACATTACACATCCTGTAATCACAAGTAACCCCCAAGATTACTATATCTGAGAGAAGATAATGTCATTGTATTAGAGTAGCACCTTGAGGGACTAACAGAGATTAGGGCCCCCATTGTGCTAGGTGCTGTACAAACAGGTAAGATGCACAGATAAATTAAGTGAATTGGTGAAGGTCACACTTGAAGTCTTTGGCAGAGCTGGAAATTGAACCTAGAACTCTTAAATTCCAATGCCTTAGCTGCAAAGTCTTAAGATCTCCCCTGGCAGCTGTGTTCCAGTGAGGAAAATTATTTCTATTTATTTAATGAAGCACATCATATATAGTCAGTTCCACTGTTTCCCATGTAGAGTCAGTAGTTTTTTAGTTTTTCCCTTGTTATAAAGACCTGTATGAATTACAACAGGTGAGCAGAAGATCCTCTATAAAAATTATTTTAAAGGAATTAGAAAAAAAATCAGAGCATCCTATTTAACGGGTGCTAGAAACTGGAATATGTGACAGGTACTCATTTTAAAAACAATTAAATTGACTCTCTCTTTTGAAGTAACTTCTCGTGATTAATAGGAAAGTGATTTAGTTTTCTTTGTAAATGGTTAATTTTAATTAATTGACCACTGAAATAGTAGTGTTTGAAATTCAGAGGAAATGTAATTAAAACAAAACAGTGATTTGTATAAATTTTCATTGCAGCTGCAGCTAGAAAAGCAGAAGGGAGAAATTCTCGGGGTGGTGATTGTGGAATCAGGATGGGGATCCATCCTACCTACAGTTATCCTGGCTAACATGATGAATGGAGGCCCTGCAGCTCGTTCAGGGAAACTAAGCATTGGAGACCAGATTATGTCTATTAATGGAACCAGTTTAGTTGGTCTTCCTCTTGCAACATGCCAAGGGATTATAAAGGTACCCAACACTTATATCTGTATACATGCATGTTCGTAGAGTGTGACCCTGCAGGGCTGAGATTGTGTCTTTGTAAAGTGCCTGGCAAATGTCTGACACTTATATGTGTAATAACAATAATTCCAGTTTTACTGGTGCAAGATAGACTCTGACATTCCAGGCCATTCCTTTGAGCAGATTTTAATAGGGACAAGTGAGTGAAGATTATGTAAGGAAGAAGAGCTGCAAGAGTATTTCACAAGACTAAATAGAGCCAGACCACGCTGCACATATCTCCTAGAGAGGATCACATGTGGACCTCCACACTTACCAGTGTGAGGGAAACTCAGCGGTATCCACAGCACTATCCATCCTATGAACTGCGGAAGCCTTTCATTTGGACTCCAAATGAAAGGCTTCCGCAGTTCATAGGATGGATAGTGCAAGTGGAAGGGGTGGTGGACTGGAGGAAAGAGTTGGCAGGTCGGGAGATGAATCAAGTAGATGCAGTCTATCTTCCCTGTAACCCCATGAAGGTTCCCCAGAGAAGATACAATCCCAGGTTGTATTATTTTTGGCCACTGGTGCTAGTACAGATTTATATCCACCAGGGTTAGTAGCAGCTGCCAGCTATTGATGACAGCTTGCAGTGTGCCATGTAATTCTGACCAGAGCAAGTCGAATTGACCTGGTGCTTAAAACTCTCATAGACTTTAAGGCCAGAAGGGGCCACCGTGACCATCTAGTCTGACCTCCTTCACCCTGCAGGCCACAGAACTTCACCTGCCCACTCCTGTAATTTGCCCATAATCTGTCTGAATTACTGAAATCCTCAAATCTTGATTTTAATAATCCACCATTTATTCTACTTCATATCAGCAAGTGACCCATGTCCCAAGCTGAAGAGGAAGACAAAAAAAACCCTAGGGTCTCTGCCAATGTGACCTGGGGGAAAATTCCTTCCTGGCTCCAAATATGGCAGGGGTTAGACCCTGTAAAACCCTGAGCAAGTGGGTGAGACCCACCAGCCAGATACCTGGGAAAGAATACTCTGTAGTAACTCAGAGCCTTCCCCATCTAGTGTCCCATCACCGGCTATTGGAGATATTTACTAATAGCAGTTGCAGATGGGCCACGTGCTATAGTAGGCAATCTCATTGTACAGTCCCCTCCATAATCTTAGCAAGATCAGTCTTGAAACAAGTTAACTTTTTTGTTCCCACTATTCCTCTTGGAAGGCTATTCCAGAACTTTACTCCTCTGATAGTTAGAAACTTTCGTCTAATTTCAAGCCTAAACTTATTGATGATCTGTTTATATCCATTTGTTCTTATGCCAGCGTTGGCCCTTAATTTAAATAATTCCTCTCCCTCCCTGATGTTTATCCCTCTGATGTATTTATAGAGAGCAGTCGTATTTCCTCTCAGCCTTCCTTTTGTTAGGCTAAATAAGCCAAGCTCCTGAAGTGTCCTCTGGTAAGGTAGGTTCTCTATTTCTCTCATCATCTTAGTAGCTTTTCTCTGCACCTGTTTCCAGTTTGAATTAATCTTTCTTAAACACGGGAGACCAGAATTGCACACAGAATTCCAGATGAGGTCTCAGCAGTGTGTTGTATAATAGAGTTGGCAATTTCCTGGGAAAAACTAGTTTAGGACAGAGCGCTGGTAAATATCAGATTAAACTCAGTTTAAACTGGGAAAAATAATTGCATCTGCATCCAGCAAGTTCAGCCAGCATAGAACAAATCTTTTCAGACTTTGGATTCTTCAAAACTGAGGAATAGGCTTGGTCTGTCCACAACATCAGAGTTGGTCTTCTGCTACAGAATAGTGCATGACCAAATGGACCTGGACTGATAGTCTGTAACTTTGCATGCTTCTGATTGCTTAATGCTCCGAACCTACAACTCTGCATATTGTTGTTTTCATAAATCAAATGTGTTTGAAGTTTGTTTATATAATATTGAAAACTGAAATATGAGTCATGACATGTGTAACTTCCTTGAGAAAATACCAAACCAAAATGTACACAAACATTCTGATGTTCAGTATTATATATTTAGTATTACTCCCACTGTAGTTTTACTTTGTATTTGCACAATCCAAAATTAATCTATCAATCTCGTCTGATGTAACCATAATTTGAATATGTAACTAAAACTAAGTGCAATGTGGTGTGCGTTAATGAAACAGTTTTTAAAATAGAAAATACTTTAAATTGGGGCTAATTGGTTTTTCCTGCGGTGTTTAAAAAACATGATTTACCTGGTAAAAACTACTTCTGGTAAATACTGCCATCCCCATTGTATAATGGTAATAAAGCTTCACTTTCTCTGCCAGAAATATCTCACCTGATGCATCCTAGGATTATACACCCCTATTCCCGATATAACGCGACTCGATATAACACGAATTCGGATATAACGCGGTGAAGCAGCGCTCCGGGGGGGGCGGGGCTGTGCACTCTGGTGGATCAAAGCAAGTTCGATAGAACGCGGTTTCACCTATAACGCGGTAAAATTTTTTGGCTCACGAGGACAGCGTTATATTGGGGTAGAGGTGTATTAGCCTTTTTTACAGCCGTATCACATCGGTGGCTCATAGTCATCTGTGATCAGCCAATAGACCCAGGGCTTTTTCCTCTGCTGTCGCTTCCAACTGGTAAGTCCCCAGCTTATAACAAAAATTCTTATTGTTAGTCCGTAAGTGCCTGATTTGCACTATTAAATTTCATGCCATTCTTATTACTTCAGTTTTCAAGGTCATCCAAACCTTCCCATATGATATTCTGGTCCTCCTCCGTATTTCTTTGTGTCATCCCATCTTTGTGTCATCTGCAAATTTTATTAGCACACTCCTGTTTTTTGTGGTAAGGTCTCTAATGAAGATGTTAAATAAGAGTAGTCCCAAGAATGATCCCTGAGGAACTCCACTAGATACCTTCCTTCAGCCTGACAATTCACTCACTGGAGTCTCCACTTACCCACCTTTTGATTTTCATATTAATCCCCAATTTCTCCAATTTAACTAATAATTTCCCATGGGGAACTGTATCAAATGATATA